TATATATATATATATATATATATATTTCTAGTTTGCTGATTAAGAAAAAAAATAATCATTTTCTCCACTAACAGGAAATTGAATTAGCAGCAACCATATATAAATCTAGAAGATTAGTCGGTGTCTAAAAAGATTAACATCCGGCGCTAACTCCATACAAACAGAGGAAAGGGTTTTACAAAAAAAATAAGAACTATAATGTACATTGACTAGCACTTCAAAAAAGGGTATAAATGATTAAAACAGGTACAACAAAAGCAACCAACCACTGGCTTGACTCCATAGTTGGTTCTTAACGAACTAGAACGCATCCTTACAAAATGGAAGCACCTATAATGTATGTAATTCCTGTATCTGTAAGTAGACATTGTACCCCAAAGGGATATCCCTATTTCATGAATTCTAAAACTTTCTGTGTAATATCTTCAAGGAAGGAAACAAAACCCATCACACTTGTAAGGCCACTTCCATCAACATCCTGCTCTTCAATCAGAAAGTTCTCAAAAATTGAGGCATCATCCTGCCCTCCTCGAATAAAAATGAGTTTGGGAGTGATGCATCTCTCTTGCTTCAGTTTGTTGATTGTAGTCCTTAACAAACCTGACAAGGTATTTTGCATAAAATTTAGGCAGAGAAACAACATATTTAATGCAGTGAGGACAGAAGGTAAAGAAAGAAGGTTTACAATCATGGGGCGGAGGAAAAGGAAGTGTTGGGTCTGCAGTCGAAGAATAAAACACGATAAGAATTGTGAATGCATCAAGGAAAAATATCGGACTGCCACTTGTAATCAGTGCTGCACGACTCAATGAATGGCGAGGATATGCTTGTTTATCTGGAGTAGCATATGATGTCAACACAGGATACACCGCACGATGAAGGGAGCTGGGTTCCAACATGCTAAAAAAACAAATGACGAGAAACACAATTAATTCTTGAATATATATAAATTCAAAGCTAGAAATACACAACTACAAACCAGGTTGCCGAAGCTTTGCATTTTCAAAAATTAGTTTTGCG